GCATACGCAACCAGAGATTCTTACAGATTGGAGACTTGATTACATTAACTTTTCAAGTAATGTCCTTTCGGTACCTAAACTCGACTATTTGTTAACCAACATACCAAGGTAGTCTTTTTTACTAATCAAGAATCTTGAAATTTCGTCCTAACCATTCTAAAGAGAACAACAAACAAAGTATTTAAAATGCACAATCAATTACAATCAAAAATTCCTAAAGTAAGGAGGCTCATTCAATTTTAGATTCAACTTTTATTCAAGCCTAAAGTGTTTATTGAAAGCCCTAAACTAAGAGAATTCTACATATTTTTTTTAGCTTTTCTCACATTATTTTTTTTTTTTTTGAATTTTCTGAAATTTTTATTTTTAATTTCGAAAAAAGAAAAAGATTTTGGACCCGGTCAAGGAACCAGGTCCAATTAACCGGTCTGATCCGGACTCTAGCGGTCCGGGTCAGACTCGCAATTCCGACCGATCTTTGGGCCCTGTCTGAATTTGGGTCTCTTCTGATGGGCCATCACAACAAATCAAGCCCAAGTTTCTAACTTCTTTCGTTTAATCCATTTTGGCCCAATTTCTAGTACAGCACCTTCACTTGACTTGACCTACGGCCCATTGTACCTCTGCTCCACCCAAATTAGAATGTGATCTGGTCTCCATTATATTTGACTCTTTTTTTTTCTAGTTTTTTTTTAATTTCTTTTTTCTGGTCTTCTTTAGGGGTGTGCAACCGGACCGGGTTTACCCGAAAACTGGACCGGCCCACCCGAAAAACAGGTGCGGGAACCGGTTCTCGTTTGAACCGGTTCCATTTTTTGGGAACCGGTTATAACCGGTCCGGTTTTCGGTTCCAAGTGAAAATCCACCCGGACCGATTTTAGAACCGGTTTTATATGGAGGTCTACTTGCAATTTTATATGGCCAGAATTCAAAGCATTCTATCATAAAGGATGAGGGAGGTGATCATTATTTGCGGATAGTCTAACTCCAGGGCTTGTAAGCATTATAGGGAGCAATTTCCTTTTTCTTAAAATTTTTCTTCTATAACGAAGAAACTACATATCCAACTGGAACCTATACTGTTTTATCACGTCCATTAAATTATTGGGACTAAGATAATATGTTTTTGTATGAATACTTAAGATTGTTTGCATAGTCAAACTTATAACCTTTGATTTGAGTTATAAATTTTCCTATTTGCTACCTGGAAAAAATGAAAACAAAAAAAGGAATAAAAAAAAAAGGGTTCTTGGGTAGATCCTGTAACCGGATAAAAAAAACAAGGTAGGTTCCAAAACAGGGTCCAGGGCAAACAGGGTAGGTTTCAGGTTCCAAAAACTAGGAACCGGATATAACAGGGTCGGTTTCAGGTTCTAGGTCTATAACCGACCCACCCTGAAACCAATCACCCCTAGTCTTCTTCCCCCAGGGCTTTCTTTCTCACCTTTCTCACCAAAGCTTCACCGAGGGCTCACCTTTCTCACGTCTTTACTGAGCTTCGCCAAAAATCTTAAAACGACACTTCAATCACTACCAAAATATTCTTCGACGCTAAGCCGCCACCCGCGAATCACCACCGGCCACTAGTTGGCCGATGGTTACTACATTGCCGGACAAACTCCGGTGAGAGATTTTCAAACTCGGAAATCGTATATACTAAAACTCTATTAACTCTAGCACAGAGAACATACATATACATATCAGAGAATGAGAAATGGACTGATTGGAGCGGCCTCAAACCGCGGGCAACTCTGGTGAGGGGATGAATTTCCGGCGAAGGAGAACTACACGCACAGCCAACTCAGACAACGATGTTCATGCCAAAAAATCAATGAAAAAAAATATAGATTCAGTATTGATTCATCAACCTAAGTACATCAAGCATAAAAGAACGAGTTCTACGCATTGATTTCACAAAAATCAATTCGGTTCTTCTTTTAAGCATTTTGTCGAACATAGGATATGCAACTTCAAAAACGATTTTCCGATTTGATTTTCAAACTATTTTTATTTTAAACAACACATACAATGTTCTGAATCATGAATATATTCCACAAATCTGCTTCGGTTACACAAGATTTTTTACCAGAAATTATTGATTAAATTCGACGCTCGATGCCTCAATGTAATAGAGAAAACAAAGCATTGGAAGCAGAAGGTTTACCTGATTCATGGACAATACAAAACCTTCACGGTAGCCTACGAACGGGACCGCAACGGAACTAGGCGTCTTCTGGCATGGCGAAGAAACGACGAACAAGAATGGCTCGTGCGTCCGAAGCGACCAACAACGGTATCTCGTGTATTCGAAATGGCGATTAACTGGGATCGTTTTCCGGCGACGGTGAACAGACGACGGAAGAAGGGGAAGAGATTTGCTGGAATTCCTCTACGCGAGTAGAGGAACCAAGCACTCTCTTCTCCAAGAAACCCTTCTTCCCCAAAACTTGTTCTCTTCTTCTCCTTTCTTCTTCAGTCCGGCGAGTATATCTCTTCCACCGCCTTCACTGTGCATTCTGTTTTGCTGACAACAACTTCTACAGCTCAGCAAGCTTCTAGATGATTTCTTGAGTTGATTTGCTCTGGTCACCCGTTTGTGACGAACCTGGGTGGCGACAGCGAGGTTGGCCTTGCCTTGGCTGGGCGAGGGCGTCGCGGCCCTCGCCGGCCCTGGCCGGTGGCCGATCGCCGGCGGGTGGCGAGACCGAAGAACAACAACAACCAAAAAAAAGAAAAAAATAAAAAAGAATCAGTTTTGAAAAAAATTGTTCCAGAATCAAGAAGCTACTTTTTTTTATATTCTTAATTCTGTTCCAAAACTAATTCTAGGCACAATTTTTTGCAAAATTGTGCCCGGGCACGAAAAATTTAACAAACGGATTTCTGTTCCCAAACTGATTCTGGAAACAAAAAAACAGAATCAATTACTATTTGGTAAGTTACCAAACAGGTCCTAAGCTACCACAATTTCTTCTTTTAAAATGTTCATCCATAAACTAAATTAGCATCAATTATTTACCGAAGATGACAAAACACATGTTCTCACTTATTTTATTTTATCTCTACTCCATTTATGACGGTACATTTCTCCTGCATTTGGGCCATGAATGAAAAGTCAAAACAACAATCAATTCCGTCCAGAAACTACGGGGAAGACACATGCCAGGCCTCGAGCAATTTCGTTGCGACAGCAAAGAGCCTCGTATGAAACTCTTTTCCTTTTTCTATGTTTCCCTGTGTCTTTTTGGGCAATTTGCAGAGAGCGGCGAGCTCTCCTTGTCTCCTCCATGAGAGTTGAGGTAGGTTGAGCTTGTCGTCATCGAGCTTGCTGGCTCGTGCATGTGGTGCACTGCTATGGAAGAGGCTTGAACGGAAGATGTAAAGGAGCAACTTGGAGGCTAAACTACATTGGGTTGACAGGTGATTTTTGGCGGAATGCAGATCCGATAGGGCCTCCTTTTGCGTCAGGTCGAGCGACAATTTTCTTTGGCACCATGCGACCGTTGTTTGCTCGGTGAATCAGTACCGGAATCTTTTAAAGCCTGCTCATTTTCTTGCCCACCTACTGCACACGAAAGAAAACAAGATCGATGACGGGATTGTTGGACCGAAAGGAATGAATAACAACTTTGGAAATTTGGAACGAGAGCACGAATGGAGGGAGAACTTATTGAAATGCAAATGCTTTGGCTTCGGTGTATTCTACGAATATGAACTTCACGGCCTTTTATAGTGGACGGACGCTGACAACATTAGATGAGGGAAACGAGAAGGTCCACGGAGTTAACAAAAGCACGTATACGAAGTCAATACGATAAATGCATTTGGAGACAAGCATGGCAATCCGAGAACTCTTTAATGGTCTTTATTGGCATTCTTTGTCTTCAGCCTTCAGTAGCTCTTCTTCATTAGATGCTTGCATCTTTTGTCTTCATTCTTCTTCATGCGCCTACTAGCATTTAACGAGGTATTCACATAGAGGTCTTCTTTCTTGAGTTCAGGCAGACCCACCATAACTCACGCCTGTTGATTTTTTTTTTCCTTTTTTTGATGAAGGTATTGTCAACACAGCAATCAATTTTATTGTTACTTTAACATCAATAGGTACGGAGTCTATCGCAATTATTCATCGGGATTAAGATGATGGTTACGAAACCATGGTCGGTGTCGATCGGTTGCTTGTTTTTACTTGGCATTGGCCTCCTCGAGTTTCTATTTCACCTCAGTCCGTGTCAACTGCACCTGTTTCACCAAGTTTTGGGCTGCAATGCTCTTCGTGGTGCGCTCAGGGAGTGAATCACATCAAGAACATGAAAAGGGCTTTTCGTATAAACCGCGCAAAAAAGGAGACTTCGCTATCGATGAATATACAATATTGTTGTAAGCGAATTCCATCTGAGCTAGAGCCAAGTCCCACTGTTTGAGCGTATCTCCACGTTACTTCAGATCAGGTTTCCCGGGGTAGGATTCACCGACTCCGTCTGGCCATCAGTATGCGCATGTGCGGTACTGCCGTAGTTCAAGAAGCACCCAAACAGACACCATGAACTTCCACCCAAAGTGACTGAGGAAGCGAGTATCAATGTCTAAAGTGACGGATTTAGGCACTCCGGTGAGGCGAACAATCTCAGAGAGAAATAATTTCCCTACATGCTTCGTACCAGATGTCTTCCTACACGGAATGAAGTGCGCCATTTTGGAAAACCTGTCACCAACCACAAAGGCGACGAGTATGTGACAGAACCAAACACGAAATTCACAGACAGGTCTTCCCAAATATTGTCAAGAATTGGTAGGGGCATATACAACCCCGTGTCCTGGGCATATCCCTTTGCTGTTTGGCACACATAACACTGCCGCACTATCCGCCCGACATCTCGTTTCGATTGTGGCCAGTAATATCACTCCTTTGCTGCCACCATTGTTTGTCAGGACCTTATTGCACGACCATTCGAATCTCAAATCAGATTCTCTGTCAAGGATGTACACGGGACACACAGCTAACTACCCTTCTTTAGAAACCCATCAGAAATATGAAAGTCGCCAACAGGTTGTTTCTGCTTCAATTTTTCCCAGACATCCTGGGAATTTTCATCCTCGTTATATAAACCCTGCATATGTCCAAAACCCGCAACCTCATTTCTGAGAGTGGTAATCAATGCAGCTCGCCTACTTAGCGCATCAGTAACCCGGTTTGAAGTATCAGATTGACACAGTAATTTACACGGGAACTTTTGCAGAAATATGCACCCTTTAGCATGCATATCGCTGCTAATTAGCTTCTGACTACCCAGATATTTCAAGGCTCCACGATGTGAATACAAAATAAATTCATTAGCAATCAGATAATGTTCCTAACGCTTCAAGGCACGCGTGACTGCATAAAATTTCTGTCGAATGTATATCATTGTCAATACCCGTCACTCAGATTCTCGGTGAAAAATGCCACAAGTCTCTTCTCTTGTGACAGCACCACACCAATCCACACTCCAGACACATCATAGTCCACTTCAAACAGCTTACTGAAGTCGGGTACAGTAAAAACCTGTGCTGAACATAGTTTTTCTTCAATTGAAGCAGAACTGACCTCGGCGTCTTCACCTTGTTGAACATCCCTTTCTTTACACACTCAGTGATCGACATCATAACGGTGCTGAAATTGCGAATAACCTATAGAACGTCGCGAGGCCACGAAAACTCTGCACTTCACTGACCTATAGAATGACCCGTCTTCAGGGTAGGCTGCGCTCGGATGGTCTTAACTTTCTCGTCTAGGTGGAGACCGACAACACTGATAATAAGACCCAGGAATAACAACTTGATAGTCATAGAACTGCAGTTCTTTTAATTGACAAATGCTCTAGGTACTGCTTTTATACCATCTAATGGAGTAGTAAGAAAGCATGAGTCTCAACTCTCAATTGTACCTCAGAAATGTATATGCACAAAGAGCGAGAAATCTCCCGGTTTTCTATATTCTAAAAAGAGATCAACCGTGTGAAACATTAAAAAGAATAAATAAATACTCCACAAAAATTTAAGGCTGCGTTTGGTTGTCTGAATTTCTAATCATAATAGGATTTGATAGGATATAATATGAAATCCAAAGAATTTGTAATATTCTAAATGAATCATAGTAATAAAACTAAATATTTTCACTTCCCATCATCTCCATTGTTTGGTATGAACAATGTATCAATATAAATGAACCTAAAAATTGCACAAACGGAGGTGATAAAAATCACACGACACTCTTGCCTACTTCATTTTTATTTGCTTATGTTTTATTATTTTTTCCTCCATTTTTTTATTTCTTTTTTCCCTTTCCATCATTCTCTAATAAAATTCTATTGAATAGTAAACTATACTAATATACACCTAAAATACTAAAAGACCTAAAATATGTAATAAATATAAATACTAAATATATACTTTTATATTGAATATATATATCATAAGATATAAAGAAATTCGAATATATAAAAAAAAGTATGAGTAAATAAAAACGAAATTGTTGTTATTTTTTTTTGTTATATTAAATATTATTTATATTCAAATTAATTTTATTAATTTAAGAAATTTGTTATTCGAAAAAAATAAATTTTATATTATGAATATTAGAAATTCTATCCACATTTATTCCACCTCTCCCATGGAATACTTTTATTCGAGTTATATCACTTTTCTATCCGAGAATATCTTGTCCTGTGCACGAACCAAACACCAGAATTGTATCCCGAATACCAAACGTAACGTAAGTGATCGCATAAGAAAACCCGAAAATAACCTTAAGCAATTAAGAGGTTTGGAAAACTGAACAACCTAAAATAACGAGGAAATAGACAACAAAATAGAAAAGTGTCTCAAAACACGCCCAAACAATACATAGATCCCGAGGCTCCCGTTCTATCGAGCGCAACACGAATCTTATCCGGGACCAGCACGTGGAAATTTCTGCTGGTCCCGAAAAGTCTTCAGCAGCCGCGTCCACATCCATATCCACGTCATTTCTCATTGTCCAACAAAAATATCTCTGGCCAATTTTCTTCTTCTTTTTTTCGAAACATCTGTGTGTTTCATTCGCATCATGGCCATCGGCCATAATGCAAGCCATGTGATCATGTGTGGTGGGGTGATTTCACCTAATCAAATGTTGCGTGAAAGTAATTCTCTACAAAAGCGGGACTAAAAAATATTATTCCCCCATCGTCTGTTTGGATATATAGATGTCGGAGTCGGCCCGGCAAGTTTAAAATCTAAAATTGATGCGAGCAACTAGTCAAAAGAGACTGCCCTCGTGCGAGCCAATCCCATCACGCTTCTTTAAAGACATCGTGCCGACATTACCCTTTGTAAAATTCCAACGTTTTTTGTTCCTATTTCATCACTCATCACCTCTGACGAGGTATCATGCGCACCTCAACATCCTTGAATGTAAGATATTTAGAGAATAGAGTCGAATACTGGGCTCGAGAAAAATATAACAAACTGAGGAAATACAAGGCGTATAGGTACTGACATGATAAAATAAGAAATGCATCCTCGCAGCTCGCTCCACGGGATGGAGATGGGCGGAGGAGGCCCCAGTAGGTGGAAACACCCACGTTACAACATCTAAATTATCCTTGTGAATTGCCAACTTTCGTTCCTAATTCGTCACTCATCGCCCGCCAAAAGATGTAATTCATTATTAGTCAATGAAAATGTTCCGCCACATCTTCCACAGAGTGGGACATAGGTTCGAGACTTTTCGGGATTAAGAGGACATCAAGGGCGGCATGTCTCTATTGAGGAAAGCCGCCAGCCGACGGATCAAATCCTTAGCTTTCTCAGCACCCAAGTCATTCAAATGGAACCCGTGGCCCTCCCCTTCCGTCTCCATGATCTCCGCCACGCCCATCCACCCGCACCGGCCCAACACCTCGTGGTACAGCCGCCCCCTGTCCCTCAACACATCCTTCTCTGCCACGCACACCAGCACCCTCCCGCACCCGAGCCCCGCCAAGCTCGGAGCCCCGTCGGCCATCGGGTTGACCCACGGCTCGTCCTCGTCCGGCCTGGACGGGCAGATCAAAGGCCATAGCCAGTCCACTTCGGCCCTCCTGTCCGGATGCAGCGCCTCCACCCCGATCGGATCGGAACCCCAGAAGAAAGGATGGACTAGCCCGACTCCGAGAAGCCGTATGTTTAGCCCGAGCTCGGGATTCCCGGCCGCCATCGCCATGTTATGAACAATATTGGCACCTGCTCAATTAGGATGTTTACTTGTGATTGAACTTTCTTCACGTATAATACTATACAAAAGTAAAAAATCAAGACAGAGTTTCAAACTAAAGTATAAGAAGACTGTTTCAGTCAATCGCTTTGTCCATTTGCTTTACAAATAGGCCACAAGCACTGAATGACTGAAGTTAACTCAAACAATGAAATGAACATATTTTCACCTGCGCTTTCTCCGGACAAGAACACCCTCCCGAAGTCAGCGTGCTCGTTCAACCAAGCCTCCGGGCCACCGCCGTCGCAGTGCGAGGCCGCCCACTGGATCGCAGCCCAGGAGTCCTCGTAAGCCGCCGGTATCGGGTGCTCCGGGGCCTTCCTGTAGTTCACCGAGACGGCGACGACCTGGGCCTCGGCGACGATGGCGTTGAGGTAGCCGTGGTAGGCGGCGGTGAACGGGGAGCAGACGCAGAACGCTCCGCCGTGGAAGTAGATGAGGAGGGGGAGTTTTCGGGAGCCGGCGAGTTTCGGGAGGAAGAGACGAGCGGAGATGACGTGGGAGGTGGGTTCGGAAGTGGCCGTGGCTCCGGCGGCAGCGGCGGTGGCGGTGACGGCGATGGTGACGTCCTTGGATGAAACGCCGGTTTCGGGGTCGGTGGACGGCGGGACGACGTCGATTCCGAAGAGCCTCTCGACGCGGCCGTCTTTGTAGACCCTCATCATCGGAAGCCTCTCGTAGGCTACTTCCGATTTGCTTGAATTGCTGCCTGGCTCCATGAGAGAAAGAGAGAGAGAGAGAGAGAGAGAGAGAGAGAGAGAGAGAGATTGGTTGCTCTCTGGTGAGTTTGTGGTTCCTCTTTATAAACATGAAGATAAGGACATTATATGCATCGAGTGTGAATGCAATTGGAACCGTCCAAAATGTTTGTATTTCACTATTTCATCGCTTAAACAAATTAGTCTTAAAAAAATGTTATTATTGTCCACAATAATCTATGCCCGCGATAAAATATTTTTCGATAATTTACCTTTGAGAACGATGCGAGCGATCATTTTAAAAGAAATATTTTTCAAAGCATTGATTTTACATGAGATAGACGCATCTACATTATTTTCTCGTATTAGAGATGATGTACCAATCTTTATTGGCCAAAAGTACAACCTTTAAATAATTAGTTTCCAATGAAAAAGTGATTGAAAATTTGACTAAGTGTATGTTGGACTATTATGCTCGTGGATCGATCCACGTTGTTGTTGACGGCGATATATCTTGTCTTCCAAGTAATACTTTTGGATAGCACAGTCCAACACGTCAGTTCAAATTTGCCGAATCAAAGCTTTCTATGACCAATCCCAACAAATTAAAGAGAATGTACCAATCTTTAGTTGCGAAAAGTCTGATGCGGAATTAATCCGTGTTATTGTAGAATAAATTGTCATTGAAAATTTGCCTTATTTTAAGTTCTGTTTATTTCGCGAAAAATGAATAATTTGGAAAATATTTTCATAAAATAATCACTTGAATCGCTTACCGAAAATGAATCGATAATGAAACTAAAGATGTTTAGATATAAATTATTATCGATAATGAAAACATTCTCTATTGAGTAATTATTTCACGCGATATAAGTAATCATTTTTAGAAAAATATTTTTCAAATCATTCATCTTTCGCGAAACAAACGGAGCTTTATATTGCACTATTTTTATTATTGTAGCTTGATCGAGGCAAATTTATTGACCATGGTAACATCTAAGTTTTTCCACATCATATTTTTGATGGATATCTTCGGACACATCAGCTAAACTTGTTGAAATCAGGGACCCTGATTGGTAAAATACTATAAGTTCAAGGAACCAACTGCAAAATTTAGAAATATAGGACCACATAAGAAATAAAAAATGCAAAGTTCACATATCTTTTTTTGTCAAAGTAACATTTCATTCATTTCCACGAAAATATAAGGAAAAAGTCCAATTGCAAACCAAGACAAATCCCAGACAATTCAAAACAAAACAAGCTTCGGATAACAAATGAATTATTAAAACAAGATTAGGGGCCACTCGCTCAAGGAGCAAATTTATGACTTCTTCTAACCAAAATTGGCAGTCAACCGCCAAATTCGTATGTAGTAATGACCACACATTGAGATCTCCGTCTGTTTGTTAGGGCTTTACCTTTTGGCAGTGTGCGCCTAGGTTCGATGTCCCCAACACCATCGCCGTTCAGAGTAATAAGATTGAACGAGCATAGATCCGACACTTGTGAGAGCGAAACCTTCATAAAACTTCTCGGATCTTCTTTAAAACTAGACTTGTACATCAACAAAACTCGAGAGAAGCGAAACCCCGAAATCATACAAATAAAAATTCCAAAATTTACACTAGATCTGAATAGAAATCTCCCCGGAATAGGAGAGAGAAGATTTAAGATCTAGATAAGATCAGATGAGAAAATTTTCGCAAAACGGGATGAAAGCAAGAAAAAAAAAACAGAAAACCAAATCAGCCAAAGAAAAAAGAAATAGAGAGGGGAGGGAAAGATAGAGCTCAAACCCTCCCCACCATGAAAGTTGAATAAGGAAGTTGTGTGAAAATGAATGTCAATTTGGCCCAAGCTGAGCTTTAAAACCCGATCCGTTTACAAGAATCAATCAGCAAACGATTCAGGACCCGTTAATGGACCCGAAAATAACCCGACCCATGGATCGACCCGGATTAGAAGAACTGTCGATGTCAAAAAGACTGAAAGAGACACCAGGAAACATCAACGCTGATTTCTCCCCACTCTGCTCCTCCTTCTCCTCCATCCGAGGTAAACCTCCGCGATCGAAGCGTGTTCTCGAGCTGAAGGATCGAGGATGGAGAGGAAGATGGCGGCCTTGCGATCCCTCCGCCGCTCGGCTTCGGCTTCGGCTTGCTTCAGGCCCTCTTCGTCTTCGGCCGCCGCCGCCGCCCTCGGCCACCGGGACCTCTCTCTCGCCCGCCGCTTCGGCGTCCTCTCCCGGAGCTTGTTCGGGCTTTCCAATCAGCCCGTTTCGGGTCCTCCCACCAGAAACCTTGCTTTCGGTGAATACCCATTTCCCCTTCTTCGCTCGAAACGTTTCGGTGCTGGGTGTTGATCTTCGTTTCTTGATTTCGTGTCCCTTTTTCTCGAGCTTTGGTTAGTTCGATTCTTCATCGGTGCTCCCTGTGGGACATCTTTGAGTGAAAAGATGGATCTTTAGACGTAATTAATCTCTGGGCGGAACGCTATTGGCCTTAGTATGTCAACTTTACTTCGGGGGGGAAATTACATCATGATCTGTGAGGTTGAATGTGAGGACTTTGTGGTGCATTCCTGTCTGATGCCATGTTGAGCTGTTTATGTTGCGTTTAGCTCCTGACTTGCTCTTTCTCTGCTCAAATTCAACTGGTTTATCTCCCTCTTTATGAGAGGTTACATTAGCTGCGGCTTTTAGTTGTAACGGGATTTTAGTGCTCTTGGTTGAACTCGAACCGGGTGTTTGGTTTATTTAGGTTGATTTTAGCGAATAATTGGGAGCTGTCACTTTGTGAGGTGTATAGGGATCTAAAGAAGTAGAGGACGTCGGTATTTGGAGCGAAGACGTGGCTTCGCCGATCATTTTCTTTCTGTGTATATCTTGGATAAATGGGGACTTCTGTGGAGTTGCTTTGTGATGTTTTTATGATATAACGATGTGTCTTTTACTAGTCAATGGTACCTCAAATGGTGAATTAGTATTGCCCTTTGAATTAGGCATAGATACTAGATAGTGCCTATAAGTATGGACAGCTGGAGATACATACACGATCCTATGCAATGCCAGTTGTCAGCTGCTTAATTCTTGTGTAGTGATGAATTCAAATTGACCGGTTTTGAAATATGATGATGATCCTGGAACTGATTTCCTCTTAATTTTTACTCGGCGTATAAATTGGGCTAGTGAGAGCTGAGATTCTGAGACTTGGTTTTCTGAGATTTATGCTATCAAATGGTCCTTTATTGTTTGCTTGGCTGGTGCTAATGCTTTGCTTTTCTGAGATTTATGCTATCAAATGGTCCTTTATTGGTCCTTTCTGAGATTCTGAGACTTGCCACCATTGGTTCTGGATGACCATCTTTTTAGTTCTGTGGGAGAAAGTTCCTTGCATTGGTGTCAGATTGTTATCTCCAATGAATTCTGTTGAGCTGCAAGTTTGGTGGGTCAAATTGGTCTCTGCTTATCAGTTTAATGCATGTTCCTTTCCATCCAGCTTTAGTTTCTAAGTTGTTACGGTGCATTCCATCATCTCAGCTTTTCTCTCTGGTGCAAACCTAATAGATTGCAGGCCCCCTTTCGGAATGAGTATGGGGAGCACACGTTGTTTCAGTGAAGATGTTACTCACATGCCCGACTTTAAAGATCCCGATGTTTTGAATGCATTCAAGGATCTGATGGCTGCTAGCTGGGATGAGCTTCCTGATAACGTTGTGCATGATGTGGAAAAAGCATTGTCCAGGAATACCGATGATAAGGCTGGTCAAGAGGTCTTGACCAACGTTTACCGTGCAGCTGATGCAGTTGAGGAATTCACTGGTGTGCTTACATCATTGAAAATGGAACTCGATGACAGTATTGGATTGAGCGGCGAGGTTAAGTTCTCCTTATGATTGAGAAGGCTGAACACTTCCTGTACCTTATATTTTTTCTTTTCTCACGTGTATGACCTATGGTTTTCTTGCAGAATGTAAAGCCCTTGTCAGATGACCATGCCAGTGCCCTTCAAAAAATTTATGAACGGTATACTGCCTATCTGGACGCGTTTGGACCTGATGAGGCTTATTTACGGAAGAAAGTAGAGACAGAGTTGGGAACTAAGATGATTCACTTGAAGATGAGATGTGGAGGCCTCGGCTCTGAATGGGGAAAGGTGAAGATATTTTTTTCTCATGACAGGCGTTGCAGCAATTTTTTTCGTGGTTTCATTTTTATGTAGTTCTTTACATCGCATGTTACGTTCTGATATGCCACAAGAAAACTCCAACATCTAGAGGGTAACTACTTCAAGCGATGTATGTATGCAACTTGATTTTGCCCTTTCCAGGGAACTGGTGATTAACATTTGTTTTATATCCCTTAATCCCATGGACAACGCAAGGCCACTGATGCTGATGCTGATGCTGATGTTGAGATGCTTTATGTAAATACAACCCCCCCCCCCCCCCCCTCCCTGAGGAAAAAAAAAGAAAAGAAAATCCCCCAGTGTGCTCTCTCTGTCGCACAATTCTGGTCGGAATCTTCACAACTTTGGCGAGTCTCATTTGCCTATATCTAACCATGAGATAATATATGAAGATATAGTTGATGGGTAATTAATTGGTCATAAGCGCATTCTCCTCTGGAAATCTAATTGGGTTGGTCTTCCTTTTGCAGGTTACGGTTCTTGGAACTTCTGGACTTGCTGGATCGTATATTGAGCAAAGAGCTTAAACCGTGGCGTTCATTTTTATCTTCTGTCATCGAAACTCTGCAGCTTGCATTTGTGATCATGTTTTTCGGAATTCGGAAGGAAGTTTGGTAGTTGAAAAAGTCCAAAGAAAAAGTTTGAGTTGACCTGTTCTTCAATAAAGGATTCTAATTGTTGACATAATGTTGGGAATGAGGCTGTATCTGGTGATGTTTCCCATGTTTAATTGGCCATGAAGAAATGTTCTCACGATATTTGTCGTGCAATTTATTTTCGAATTTGCTCCTCTTTGATAGTTGATTATAGTTGCTTCCGGTGCTAAGACACGACCTTTCCCGTGATCCTAAATAACGTGTGTTCTAAGAAGAAGATGAACCTGAACAAAAGGGAAAAACAGGGGAATAAATGTTCCTTGGGTGGTTTCTGTATTGATATTATTGGTAAGTAATTGGCAGGACACTTGACATTCAAAACCCATTTGGATGGGACCCATGATAGAGTGAGATTTCCATATTCAGTGCAAGAGATAGACCTAAGTTGACAATGCACGGGGCGATTCGATGATATAACTCAGAACTGATGCATAGTTGTTGAAATAGCGATTATTCGATCAGATTTACCCATCTTCGCTTAGTATACACTTCTTTGCAAATTGAATGCCTTCTAATATGCCAGAAACTCATCCACAATCTTCAATCTCAGCTTGTGATAAACTGTCTGAATTTCTGTTTTCCCTACTTTCTCTGGTTTGCTGTAAGCTGACAAAAAACAATTTTCCAGTAATGTGACCAACTTTGTCCAAAACTACCCATTTATTACATGAACAATCAACAAAGAGTCCACAGATCAAAGAAGCACTAAATATAGGGCATCCTTCTCAGCCTAGTGCCTCTCCTCCATGACCATGACTCTGTTGGAGACTTGGGCAGAGGCGGAAGCAACAGAAGCTTCCGGCACAGGCCGAACGGCCACCCCTCGCAGTGACAGAACTCCTGAATGATTGAGCGCCGCCGCATTTCTTGGATCATCATCTCGTTCAAGCTTGAGCACCGCGAGAAGTTGGTCCTCACGGTCACGAACTCGTCCCTGCTTTCAGTTGCAGCGCTAGAACAGCAGGTGAAACAGCTCCTCACGGTGATGAATTCCTCCCTGTCGTCTTCGTCATGATTGGCCTCCTGTCGACAGGTGAAAGATAGCTCGTCCATGCCCGGAGAGAAGACAAAGGAAAAGCTCTCGGTAGTGAAGTTCGCCTTGCGCCTTAGCTTCTCCATGGCTCGACTGCGAATCTCTGAAACAACCTCCTGAGAAGCACCAATAATTCGTTACAAAGGTTATATTTGATCCGAGATTCCGGCTCTGAGTGCAATGGTGTGAGTCTTCCTGTATCTAGAAGATTTCTCATGACTAATTAGACAAGATGCAATTGTCTGTTCGTGGATAAAGCTCATATCAATTTCCTTGACAAACAGAGTAGATAGAATCAAAGCCGATGAGTTAGTACTCCTTCCTGAACTGATTCAGTATGATACAACAAACACATGAACATCAAAAAGGTTGGTTAGAGGAAAACACAACAATTCTTTTTACTTTAACATAAAGGAGAAATCATTACTTCCTGTTCATCGTCGGAATCGCTCATTGGATACTCCTCTTTAGGGGTTGACTGCGAGAGCTGTCTATCAAAAGTATGGCACCGAGAGAATGCTTCCTTGAGTGCTGCAGAGAGGCACTTGCATCTCTTTGGGGGGTTTGGTGGCTCTTCTTCATGATAGAACACGCCCATGTTTGGTGAGCTCGAAGGCAAAGGGATTGGTGGTGGGTGCGGGAAGACTCCTGGTTGATTTTTAAGACAGGAAAGAATTTGTGAACAAGAAAATGTCAAGAACACGATCCCATCAAATGCTCTCGATGGCAACTTTGAAGTGCTCTGTGATAGTGGCCTCGCAGCTTTCTGAAAATTACAGGCTTTTATTCTTTAGGGTAAAGACTAAGATAAAATAAAAATATGACATGACCCGCAATTCCATCTCAAGCTTTCCTTCATCACCTGATGCGGATTGTGATGGCTGTGACTTTTAAGTCCCTCTTGATCAGACCCTGTTGATTGTTGAACTTTCATGTCAAAAGCCTGTGATTTTTTGCAGGAATTCTTAAACTTTTCCCAAAAGGGGGATGTATGAAGTAAATTAAACATAACATAGATTTCACTTTAAGATGAAGTCATTTGCAGCTATGACATCATACCAACCGTTGCTCTCTCTAATTCGATAAAATTTGGTAAAGAGATGAACAATCCCTTCAAAGGAATGATTTAAATTGATCTCAGCCGAATAAGGTAAAGGATGAATATCATCTCGAAGGCTCGAACTTTATGCACAGAGTTCTGCAAGAAATAAGATCAGAAACAAACAGAGAACTAACCTCTGAAGCTGAAACTCTCTCATTGCACTTTCTGCATATTCCAATCGACTCTTGAGAAAATGGGCAGTGCTATCTTCACCTCAAACCAAAAACTATATTTCAGATTGGTGACATGTTTGACTACTGTTGTGAGCTCCAAGTTGCACCAAGTGCTCGGATTTTGTCAAACAGAAGGTGGCTGAGAAATCTGTTGTGTCCCCTTACACTTTTTAACCCCAGCCTCGTTCTCGGTATCTAACTTGTCATATAAATATCCATTAATACAGCTAGGAGTTATGTTGGCATTGAATTTTCCAGCCTATAAAAGAGGGACTTAGCTCTAACTCTTTTTGTTGCTCATTATACTGCTCACGGGGAGGAGAAAGAAAAACCGAAATGCAAGACCTATTAAATGACTTTGTTTACAACGGTGAGTAACAGGGGTGAATAAAAGGAACCGCACGGACGGGACCGGACCGAACGGTTCTAGGCAGTTTCAGGGTACCGGTCCGGTTCCTGGTTTCAATTTTTTGGAACTAGTAATTTTCAGTCCGGCTACCGATTTTATGTTTGGAACTGCCTACTCGGACAATCCGGACTGGACCAATTTTTTTATTTTTTTAATTTCTTACAAATATGTAAAAACTAATAAGCCCTAATTTATGTTCTGTTAAAATAGCTTCTGATCATTGATTTAGACTATGGTCCCAAACATCAAAAGCTATCGATGACATCAAATTCACTTCACTGCCTTGTGATGAATTTTGCCTGTAGCGGAAGGAGATAGTGCACGCTCACATCACATGAGCTTTCCAAGTATTTCCTTTCGGTGTCCAAAGGCAAGAAAAGAAAGCGACAGAAGTTCTGCAACAGCAATAACTATGAAACAATGCATCTGGTCCCAAACATCAAAACTTATCGATGCTTTTTTATGAGAAAAATAATTAAAAGTTTATGCTTGAAATGAAAGGTAAAACGAGAGAATATAGCGACAAATCAAAAAAAAAATATAACGTGTCATCTGTTCCGTTGGCTCACCCGGGAACCGGATCAGGTCTGATTTTGGGGGCCTACAGTCCGGCGGTTTCCAATTCTTAAGTGAGAACTAGACCACCCGGGAACCGATCACCCCTAGTGACCACACAGAACTACAATTGTCTTTCTATGTGTTTATGAACGTGAAAATTAGTGACAATGACGGATGTATCTATGAGAATTATTAAGCCTGTTGGAGATATTTAGAAATCTTCTAGGGATATTTAGGATATTTCCTCTGATTTTCTATATCTCTTTTGATTATACATATATGATTTGATTTCCTTATATTGTCATCTATAGGCTTTATAGAATGGCTATCTATGGTAACATAATATTACAATCGAAACTACAATCAATCAGGTTAACGCGATTATGATTCTTAGAGATACTCATAATAATACTCAGAATCAGATAATATATTTCTAACATCCTTGTTTTTTACGGGGATTAACATAGAATTTTCGATATATATTTCGATATATCATAATGATTACATCAGCCTATTTATAGGTTTTATGAAATGACTAAATAAGATAACATACCAATCAAGATACGCATAATCAAAATGAGTTTTTCGCACATTCTTAACAGATACAGAATATCATTAGAATTATCCTAAATATCTCTAACAAGCCATTCCAAATGGGAACTTGGCTAACTTGACTATTCATGTTTCTTTAGTCAAGACCAGGCTCTCTTAATTTACCCACTTTGATTTGTACAAATCATGCTAGTTGGGTTACTAAATTATTGACCTTTCGATTTGTCAAAATCAGTTCCATAGCTAGAAACACTGCACCAACAAGGACCTGTCAGCTTTAGAACCTTCATTTCAGGAAGAGCAAGTGGTCCTCACTAGGTTGAATGTTGGTGTAATGTGCTTGTGCGCGTAGTCATGGCCACGGGCCGGTTTCGGCCCGAAACCGGCCTGGTTAAACCCGAGCCCGCGGTTTGGAACCGGAACCGGCCCATGCCCTACCGGCCCGGTTCCGGTTCCAGAAATTTTTTAATCGGCCCGGAACCGGCGGTTCAAGGCCCCGTTCAAAAAAAAAAAAAAGAAGAAGAAGCTGCAGACATGGCGAGGGTTCGACCTCGCCGGCGTCGGGCGAGGCCGGCCTCGCCAGTTGCAGGCGAGGTCGAGCCTCGCCAGATCCGGTGAGGATTCGACCTCGCCGGCCTCGCCGGTTGCAGGCGAGGTCGGCCTCGCCCGACGCCGGCGAGGTCGAGCCCTCGCCCGACGCCGGCGAGGCGAGCCCTCGCCCGACGCCGGCGAGGCCGGCCTCGCCCAGCCCAAGCGAGGGCGGCCCAGCCCCGACGCCGGCGAGGGCGGCCTCGCCTAAGGCCGGCGACCTCCGCCGGCCCCGGCTATGGCCGGTGGAGGAAGAAAAGAAAAAAAAAAGAAAAGGAAAAGAAAAAGAAAAAAAACAGAAAATAAAAATTATGAACCTGCCTGGAACCGGTTCCGAACCGACCGGTTCCGAACCTGAACTGGAACCGGAACCGGCCCGAAACCGTCCGGTTCATACTTGGCCACGAACCGGAACCGCCGGTTCCAAACCGGAACCGGTCGGTTCCGAACCGTGGCTATGACTATGTGCGCGTGTTACAACAGTTCTGTTGGATAACCGCTTTCATTCGGTCCAAGTCAAATTACATAAATGCATATATTGTGGGAATCAAATCAATGAGAGTAAGACTGTGACAGTTTATAATGGGAAGTTCTCTTTCATAGAGTCACAGTATTGCAGAGAGTGATGAAATAGAATCCGTATCAGACACCAAAGAACAGCTCGTGCTCAAGGATTTGCTCGACAGATGCATATTTACAGTCTGCATCGCAACTCAGGTAGGGAAAAGAAGAGAAGAATGTAAAAGGTTTCGCTTGCTTATTGAGGTATGACCAACGTGAAATAGTCGATAGTGAGCATTGCTGACACAGAAGAGTTCGTGATTCACATACAAACTGTTCATCACATTAGCCAATCAATCAGACGGCTAATCAAAAGCTGTAAACCACGATTCAGATTCTTGTGAGTGAGCTGCCACCATGTCTTAAGCCATATCAATAAGTCAATTCAAACCTCAAATTTTGGAGGTCCCAATTCATCATTCATAATATATCTCAGTTGCCTGAATATTGATGAACAAGTAATCTGGCGGGTCCGCGAATCTTTCTGAACATAGGGAATTCATCTCCCTGAGAATGAACTATTCAGGAACACGCAATTACGTAAATTCTCTCAGGTAGCCAACTGACGCTGCACAGCTTCTTCGGTCAAGAAGGTTAGCATACAATTCATTCCCACTCTACCAGTCCTCCGATAATCTGCTCCCACATCAGTAGAAAAATAGTATCCTCCTCTTGGATCCTGGCAAAATCTGACATCTAAGGCAGTGTAGTTTCTACTAAGAACAAATCATGACCCTGTCTAATCACCAATATTAATTCCAACGTCCTGCTTCGGGATCAGGTAATACCTTTCATCACAAATTATTTATGCAAAATCGAATGACTAATGAGTTCAATCTAGACAATAGACAGATGGATCATAGAGAGTGATAAGCCTGTGGGATGCGAAACTCACAGTTTAGTCAACTGGCTCCCCAGATTTCTGGAGCTGTTGAGAAGTAAGAGAAATAAGAGAGTGAAGCCTTGCATCAGCAGAAGCCTTATCAGGCGGGCATTTATAGAGAGCAATATTGAGCGAATAAAGAGCCTCGTCACGCTTGCCAGCAGCTAAGGCAGTACATCCAGCCCTGTATGCTTCATCTGCCATCCTAGCATCATACTGCGACATCGCATTCTTATCCGAGCCCTTATACTTTGAACCAACAGATGATGGGGATTCAAGGAATGCACTCACGCGTGCATATTCAAGATTGACAATGGCAGTGTTGATCTCTCCCGTGAGAGCTTCCACTGTAGGTGGGAAAATCTTGACACCATCAAAGACGCTCCAAGCTTCTCGAGAGTTCGTACTGAATGAATTATAGTTGCTACCCCAAACAGGGTCATAAAGATTCACAACAAAAATATCAATTCATCACCTATTCTGTCTACTGGAGTTGTGGTTTCAATCTCCAGGCCATTCTGAATAGTCCGAAGACAAAATGACATAGTAATCTGAATCCGACCACCACTAGAAGAGGCTCCGAATCGGAGTTACTTAAGATTCCAGCGCGATTTTTGTTCCTACGGTGCGATTGTGACAAAGATACCTACGACAAGTGCATCTACCTTACCCCTGCCAAGCACAGCGGAAAATCAACAATGAGAAACAATCTTCTGCAGAATATGCCGACCAATTCACAACCAATATGCGAATAAGTGCATCCACCTTGTCCCTACAATCCATGTGGTTGGCTTTTACAGTTGCCGCACCGGGCTAGAGTACCGATCATCCGACAGGATTAACATGGTTCACACGGACACCGTGCGGAACACTCGATGGCTTCGCCACGTTATTTAAGTACTGGTTTCGTCGAAGAGTCTTAAGCATCTCGATAGCATTACTCTAGCATCCCTGCGCATTCGAGTTATGCCACTTAAGTAGTAACAATGATGCAGCTAAGCACGCAGAAGCGAGGGGTCATATTTGAAAATTGGGTATATTTTCTTAGTGATATAAAACTTCATGATTCGAAACAACAAATCATGAATGGAAAATGTTTGTTTAGCGAAAAAGAAATGATTTGGGAAATATTTTCTTAAAAATAAATAGTTAATGAAAAATATTTTATTATCAATAATGATTTATATCCAACCATTTTCGTGGATGATTTCGTTCATTCGATTTTATAAGCAGTACAAGAGATCATGTTTAGAAAAATATTTTCTAAATCATTCATTTTCTGATAACAAATGGAGTACTGTACATATTTGAAAATTGGATCCATTTAGAAAAATGGATTTAGATTGCTTTAGAATGAGGAAAATTTGAAGTTGATATTTTTATTTTTTTATTTTCCTTTGATTATTTTGTGCGATAATGATTTTTCTTAAATAATAAATATACATCGACTTTCATGAAATTTTATAATAAAATTATCATGTGAAGGCTACCTTTATATTTTCAATTATAAAGCAAAGGGCAAAGGAGTTCTTGATGAAATGTTTAACTTACCTACTTAGAAAATACAAGCACGTTAAGATCCCTCACATGCACATGAATGTAAGCAGACACGTTATTATATAGATTAGTTATATTCATTAAATGACTTGTAAAAGAGTTTAGAATAATAAAACCCAAATTAATATATATAGTATAGGGATTCATAATTTACTTAGACCTAACCCCCCTAAAGGACTTTCTCTTGATCTCACACCCGCTCACTCCGCGCTCTAACCTCAATTTGGATATGAGTTTGCTTAAATTGGATTAAATATGAGCGTATTTTAACAATATAAGTTGGATCAAATATGAGTCACTAATTTATATTGCACGGAAATGGATCAATTTGAATCGGACCAACCCGATCCACCCATTTGACGTGTCTAGATGTAAAAAATAGCGATGAAGTGGAGTAAAGGAAGCAATGGTGACCAAGAATGCGCAAAACGAAACGTGAACATTCAATCGAATCGAATGAATTAGGTGGACCAAAATCTCTTCAGATGTTAGAGCTGATCATCCTACAGAAACCATTGTGTCCGGCTCAATAAAAAGCCGAATCCTCAGAGAACAAGAGCCACAGGGAAGAACTATCGATGCCGATAAGTTATCTGATGTCCGTACGATCATTCCGCTCCCATCCCTTGAAATTGGACAACCCATTTCTTCCAACTCCTGAGAATCGACACTGAAATAATCCCCACACCGGCATTGGTAACAGAGCTGTAAGATGTCTCCAGAATCTTCGACCGTCATATCCTCTAAGCTGACATCCTCTGCAGTTCCGGTATCCTGTCTTGAAGCCTGCAGTTCAGTATCATAAAGTCTTCGCGACTTGGCATCACCAAGGACTTCCCATGCTTTTTGAATCATCAGAAATTTATTTGCCATGCTATGATCAGCACAACCCCTCTCGGAAGTCGTCTGTAATTTATCCGGATGATAATTGAGTACGGAAGATCGATAACTTGCACGAATTTCTTCGTAGCTCGCGTTTTCTTTGACACGCAAAATTTCATAGTATGTATCTGTCACAGAATGCTGGCCAAGTACCATGGTTCAAAGGAGAACTGGCTTCAAGCTAGCTACACTGCAAAATGCATGCACACAGGAAAACTTAATACAAGCCAAATAATTAAATAACAGAAGAGAAAATTTCTAAAAAGAGTATGCTTCCAGATTAAACTCAAAAAAACCAACCTCATCCTGTATTCAAACAGGACCACGATCAAAACAAAAGCAAGACACCAAAGTTTGCCGTCGTTCACAAAGGATGTTTCAGGGACTTAAGCCATCAGATGCTAATTCACAAGTGTGCAGTCATATATCTTAGTATGTGTACGTTGGCACGTGGGCCATGCTGCAGCCTAATATTGGTCATCGACGAACTAGGTATGCATTAAAATGCAAGTGGTTCTTTGTTCCAATATCATAATTGAAGCCAATACAAGATGCTGTGTTTATTGTCCAGGTAGTAGCGATATCAGTACAAACCAATAGCCAAATACAAGAGAAGAATCAAGTCAAGTGATTCTATAATCCTTTTGTCATAGCACATGATAGTCATCTCTTAAGCTCCAATGCAGAGTATAGTTAATTATCGAGTTTCATTCGCTTTGAAGATCAAGATGGTCTCGTATTCTGTTCAGAACTAAAGCGTGCAGTCCAAATTAGCAAGGAAATAAGTTGGAAGTGTCAAGGCAACCTACTTCATGCCCAGCAGGTCGGCAAATATCTCAATCCTTTCTTTGACTAACACAGCTATGGCATGCATATTTTGGCTCAAAATCATGACACCATAGAAGAATGACTCTCGACTGACTTTTCCTTCAACTAGTAACGTGAAAAACAACCATATGAGCAAGGGAAACACATCACCTATAAACATCAAGCACAAGACAACATACAACTTAATACATTAAAACCATAGGCCCAAGAAGATTAGCTTCAATCTGTTTAAAACTAAGATCTCTGCAAAACTTAGTGTAGACTGTCAACAATATCAAACCACAAGTGAACAGAAAACCGAGATTTACACTCGCATATATATAGAAAACCAACACCATGCCTAATAATGCGAGGCAAAGCAAAAAAGGGTAGTCTCTCCTTCTAAAATCCCTAAGAAATATCACAAAACATACATTCATACACATTGACGAATGACTACCAACAGCCAGATGAAGGGCAGATCATACTCAGACACCAGTCGGTTATCAAAGCAAAATTGTTACCAGTGAAAAGGTACACACTATACAGATTCATTCTCTAATTACATTACTTTGCAGCAAGGCCAGCAACCCCATCAACATCCATTTTAACACGCCACCAAAGCCAGGGAATCCTATGTCCGAATCCCACATTCCCCTTTATTTTTTTTTTTCTAAATTTTTCAACCGCGCTACCTATAGAGTACTTCACACGTTGTATCCTCGGCTTTCGCCATTCTGCTAATCTTCGTATGAGGGCAGCACCAGGATACACAATATACATTCAAGTTGTTCTCCGATAGCGTTTTCAAAACCATCACCGAATGATAATAGTCTGAGGATGATCAACAGAAGAACCAACATTGACCTAATGTAACAGCGGGAAAACGAATTCTTTCACAGACGAGGAGGAATTAAACTCAGTCGGAATGGTGGGATTTAGGCAACGCGTGTTTATACAACTGGCTCCGTGCAATTCAACTTCAGTTAGGAATAGTCAGGTTACTCCTCTGTAGCCAGAGTCGATCATGGACAAACAAGTATCTGATGAACCTCATTACCTTGGACGACACAAGACAGTGGGACTTAAAGGTCGAGGAGAATTCGTACCGAATTGCACCAACGAAAATCGACAGAGCCAAAACATTTCGAAGCCGAACCCACGTCACGGTACGGATTGAGAAACATTCAGCGAATAAATGACACGAAATCTTCAAATTTAAGCACCAATACAAGGAAGAGCATATTCGCAAGGCTCGGTTTCGCTGCCGAAAGGGGAAAAAAAAAATTTATTTTTGAGGAAAGAATTATACGTGTGAGGCGGCGGGCTCCGCGAAGTCAGAGAGGAGTTGAGTTGAGCGCCGGGTCGCCGGAGTTGGTCGGACGGAGAGAGCGAGAGAGAGCTCTGCGATCTGTTGGAGGCTTGGTGGTGTTCGCGAGAGCACGACGGGAAGGAACTGAAGCGAGAGGGGAGACACCGGAGGCGAGCGACCAGGATTGCGAGCAAGATAGAGAGAGGGCAGCGGCAGAAGGAGAAGGAGAACCAGAGGCGAGCGAACGAGCGAGCGAGCGATCGTGAGCGCTCGCTCGCCAGAGAGGAGGAGGAGGAGGAGGAGAACGGAGGCAAGAGATCGGGAGCCAAGGGAGGCACCGAAGAGGTCTAGGGTTCTATTTTAAAGGAGGGTTAAACTTGGAATATTATTAAGTTTTTGAGGGCCAAAAAGGGCAACCGCGAAAATTTCATTGATCTTGATATTTACCACTCGAAATTCCGCACGTAACTCTTTTCAATCCCTTCCCTTTCGCCGTTCTAAAAGCCCCGTAAAAAAAACGGCACATTAACTGAGCCCTATCCCTCTAGTGATCGGTTCCTGCCTTCGTTCGATAAACCCTCTCACTCTAACATTACATACATATCTGGATATGCCATGATCTCGATCTCAATCTAGATCAAAGCGTGGTGGTCGTCTTGCGCTCTCTCGCCCGACCCGTCGATCCTTCCCTTCCCCGCTCTCCCCTCCCTCTCTCTCTCTCTCTCTCTCTCTCTGACTTGTTTACAGACGGCCACCACTCAAGGCAGTTGCCGAGGGCTAATCGTCGTCCTTCCGGCAATGATCACCGGCACGCTATGTGCCATGACCGAAACCCGGAAAAAGTAATTCTCACAGTCGCACGTGTAGCACGAAGACTGTAAGGGTCCCAGAAAATTGATTGAACCGCAATTTGCTCTGCCAATCCGGTAGTTGCGGCGGCCCGCAATGGACCTCGGGCTTCTATTACATCCCACGGGCAAGAACATTGTGGCGGACAGGGATGATAAGGTAATCAAATCAGCTAGTTGAGTTAAATCATGCACACACGCATCATCATCCTTCGAGAAGCACAGCAATTAAAATATGCCTTTTCTTACCGACATGTGAAGCCTACTCGTAAACGTGATGAATGAGTACAGGTAGGCACCAGATTGGTCCCGTTGCTACCGCTTTCACTAAGAAAACTGTCATTGCTTTAATAATGACCCAGATAGCTGCACACATACATGCCCCTGAGAGAGAGAGAGAGAGAGAGAGAGAGAATGAAAGAGAGAACGCATAAGTGCCAAACCTTCTTCACCGTATGACAAATCAAATGCCCCAATATCATGATATTCTTGGCATGTCAGATACACGAGAGCCGGGCAACCTTTGGCGCCATCCGACTTAATTCGATCGGCACCGAGACCACAAAATCTCGTATCACGATTACAAAAATGGTGTAACGAATAGATATTGAAAGATGCGTTTTCAGTCCGACAAACAATGCCAGGGAGTGAACGGCGCATGATAACTCGGCAAGGCCAGCTTCTTTCGAATCAAGAACAATTTGCAGCTCCTATACAGTTTCAAACAGCCTCACGAATTTATCCCCCTGTTATACAATAACAACACCAGAAACCCAAGGAACAACCAATGGCGCATTTGGATGCGCATCCCTATATGCCTCAGAATACTTGTCCTTAAAATTCAACTTCGGTTGCTCTGCCTGCATTTTGACAATGCACACGTAAATGGTGAAAACCTTAAAAGAAACAATGCCAACATGCAGAAATCTTCATTTGATTAGAAGAGACCACAAAGTTTCCAGATGAAAAAAAGTTCCAAAACTTACGTATTTAAGCCAGCACTCCTGGTTCTTGTGTTCATAGATATCTGGAGAGAAACAACCTGTTTCGGATGGGCAATATACCCAAATGTTACATTTCTTTTCCCCTGGTTTGGCATACTTAGCCTGATCCAAACAAGCCTGACAACATTCAGCCGCACTTTCTTTATGATGAGTAAGGCCCCATCTAACAGCATCACCAGCGTAGTCTGTATGGAGTTCAGCATTGCACTCTGGAGGCACTGGTCTGCCGGGTAAAACTTCCTCCTCTGGAAAATAAAATTACCACATTATAAAGGCAAGCGTTCTAATCGCTGACAAAACCCATCATATTATTCTACCGCGCTAGTCAAGAAAACAATAGACTACAGGGAAAGGCAATTAAGGAAGAGAGAATGGAGACATGGGAACAGAAGGTGGGGATCAAAGGAAAACAGGAAAAATAGACAATAGATAAATAACTTCATAATAATGTATTAAACAGCTGTTAATGCACTAGAAAGAAAGGAAGAGAAACATTACCAATCTCGTCTTGACCCTCGGGCTTATCATCATGTTCCTTGTTGATGACTTCAGTTGGTATCCAAAGTCCAATCTGTTCTGATAGAACATCCCAATTAGAGTCCAAGGCTTTCAGCAACAACCCTGCATTAAATTTAATCAAGGATGTTTAGTAATGAATAGCTTATTAGAAAAAATAAAAAAGAGTACTGGTGCATTAACACAAGTAAAGCAAGTTATGGAGCATCGCCTAGATATACCTGCCTCCTCCGCCAGAAGAGTTGAATTGACGCTGTTTCCAAGGGTCACTTGTTTGACCTCTTGTAGTTTTTCCTTGCGCCAGCTTTCAACTGCATCTGTTTATCAAATATTTATTCAAGACATTTATAAACTACATGATAATAAAAAGAACCATAGCAACAACCGCTGCCGCAATAACAGCAATTAAGTGGAATTGGATATGATTCACACATTGCACCACGCAATAAATCAAGAATAGAGGAAAGTCTCTTCCTATTTCCATGAAGATAGCGAATGCATCCTTCATTAGGTTCAGGATATACAACTTGCCAACAGATAAAGTACATGACTTGCTAGTAGCAAATTACTCCAGTCAGAGGACCTATTATAGGGATTCTGCAATATTCCAACATAACTTCCTCCATCATCATTGCTTGTGGTCTACCAACATCAGCTTCAAAGTAAATGCCAGCCAACTCTCATTGACAGACAAAAGAGCGGAAGGAAAAGCCTTTGTTTTAGTCTGGTGAATTGATCACTCACTAAATCTGGCTGTTACAAATCTTGGGATATAGGAGAAGCGACTTCCTCTGTGAGGGAACGTGCCTTCTGCAAGGGAACAATTACTTCATACAATCATTACCTATAACTCTGCTGCTATGATGATCCTTGTCAGCACATCCCCTTACAGCTGGTCATCCTTTGATCGTCACTTACAAGATGTTATACCCAAGACTGCAGTCATACATTTCACCATCGAAAAATTGAAAAGGGCCTTGTCTCAAACTGTTCACCATGCTATGAATACCTAAATGTTCAGTTAGAATTACAGGCTGCAGATTTTGGGAGACTAAGTTTCACATACTTGATAGTCAATTCTATCACAGCATACGCTCTATATATGCCTATACATGAACAGCCAGTTTTCTAAGAACGTGACTTAGTGCATAATAGGAGCTCCCCAGTCCAAAGGTATTCCAGTGGCTCTTTCGGAAGTATAACACCCGGAAATTAAGATTCAGGATTCAGTTGCTAAACACCTAAATTTTGAGGTCATGACTAATCAGTAGCAAAGTCATGCGGCAACCTGTGCCACTTCAACAGGAAGGTTTTCCAAAATCACACACAAATCCAGTTAGACCTGGAAAATAAAACAAATAACTGCGTCTAAGATAATCCCAGTTTCTACGTAAAGAGAACAGATGGCGAATCGGGAAAGCTAATCTATCCAATAATTTTTGTGAGGGTGTCCAACCAGACCCATCTGCAGATAGGTCAGTTCCTCCTAGAGCAACAGAAAACCTACATGAATAGGTAGATTTTCCACAGAGTTCATCGATAAGATTTTGGTATCCAAAAGGAAACCATCCCAGAAAATGGCACAGTGATCTTGGGCCGAAGGCTAGTGTCAGCTCAAGTAGCGCTACTGCACAGGACATAATACAACTGAAAGAAGACTCGTTATGGCACAAACAATCTACATGGCTAGTGCTCCTTTCTTGATCTTTATTACCCTATCCCTGCGAAGCTCCTGGTATACATAATTTAGCCAATTGGCAAACCCAGTACTTGGAAACATGATCACTAAGGAACCATATCCAAACTTGAGCATCCTCCTTCCTTCACACCCTCCAACAAGCTTTTTCAACAAAACAAACATCATCCATAAGAAAGGAGGTACACCACCAAGTACAGAGAAAATATGTTAAAGATAATGCAAAATAAAGAAAAGCCTGATGAAACACAGAAGGCAGGAAGCTAAGTAGAACTTAAATGATGCACCAGTCTAGTAGAGATTTGTAGATGATTTCTATCACCAGTGCACATGGCCAGATCCATGGATCTTCACTTTCTTTCGCACTAAAAGAACATGGTGATGCTAGTTGATACCACCACTATCTAGAGTATGAATTGTCTCCATTGGTCAGTGGTCTCAGAGATCTTGTGATCCCACCTGGTGAAGGCTGACCCAGCACTAGTGGACCATGCCAGGCACTACAGCTTAATTGTGAAATTGGCAGAAAGGCTTTGAGGTGCATATACAGCACCAATAAAAAATATTAAGGCCGTGACTCCTTTTAACTTATCCTCAAGAATTTTCCTGGAAGATGCTGTCCAGGTGAAAAAAGGCTCAGACTGTAGACGCGATACAGTTGAAAAAGGCTACTCTTGATGGAGCTTTTACCATTCCTTATGCACTTAAGAGGGAAGCAAACTCTCCCCAGGAAGAAACTACCTTAAGCCGACACCAAGTATCAACCTCCTAGATATTTCCACAAGATGAGATGTCAAAAGGATGAGCTAGAAGCAACACAAACAAATTTATTCTCGAGGATACCAATCAATGACATCTTTTTTACGTGAAGCGCCAGCTGGTCACAGAGATATAACGACACTTAAGTCCTCGAATGCATGATGATATCCCTATGAAGGATAAACAATGACACTTACACTCTGAAATGCAACATGAACGATGTGGAAAATCCTAAGATAGCAAAAACCAGGAAAGTGAGTAAAAAATTCTGAAACAAAAATAAACCATTGAAACGGGTAAAAAAATTAAGAAACTTGCATCAAAAGCATTTGATGGAGTTTCTTTCCTAAATGGACACCACACCACACCAAATTGGCAAATACTATACAGTGCTACTCAAAATTCGAATGCCTTTACTCGAATTTATGGGGCTATCTCGAATAAGAAACCTTAATAAGAGGGTTTTCCCAAAAGTCGACCGATAAAGTTTGCCCGACTAACCCAGCTGAAACAAAAGTTGCAGGTGCAAGCATACATTGCAAAAGCTAGCTGCCACAAAGATAATTACATCTAGGCTATAGAACAACGTAGCAGCGAGTAAAATTATCATCAACTACAGGTTAAAAGGGGGGAAATAACGGGCACACGACATTAAAGCCAACTTGTGCTGACCTTTTTGCTCGTTCGCCGTCCCATTGCCATTAAGGCCTTTCAATCTCTCCAAAATCTCATCAGTGATTTTCTGCTTCAACGGGTGCGGCAATTGAACTGCTCCTCCCGTAGACATTCGCTTCTCGAGCCTTTTAACCTATTTTCCACAGATAAAAAAAAAAAGGGAACTGGTTCTCGTCAATTCCAATAATGCGGTCGCAAATTTAGCACTCGCTTAACCGGATCAAACACTGTCTCAGCAATCTACCGACCCAGCAACAGGCATGCCAAACATAGCAAGTAAGAATCTTTATAATGCCTATATTACCATTTTTACGAGCTGGAGCGGTTTGGCCGCTCTCCGTATCCGGATAGACTCCTCCATCTTCTCAATCTGATCAGGCGTGTACTTAGTAACTGCAACCACCGACGGAGAAAGTTCAGGGGCGCACTCAATTCGGACGAACGGCTAGACAGAGAGAGAGCGCAAAAACAAAGAGGGGATCATACCATTGGGGGAGTCGCCAGAGGAGGAGTAGACGTAGAGGGAAGCGTAGAGGTAGCGGAGGACGAAGAGCGCGACGACGATGTTGATGGAGCAGACGATGAGAGTGGTCCTCTTGTACGAGCACCCCAGCTTCCCTCCTCTCCCTTGATTTCCCCAATCCCTCGCCATTCTCTACCTCCCCTCCTCATCCCACCGCCGCCGCCACCGCCGCCGCCACCATACTCACTCTCTCTCTACTCTCGGAATGCCGCGCGCTGCTCGATGCGGGGGGTGGAGATCGCGCCGCCCGGATCGATCTGCAGGTCGCGGCGGCGATCGGAGATCCTCCCGGCTGCCGTCACCGGTGACGCGCGCACGGTCGCGGCCCTCGCCTCGGTGGTTGCGGGTCGGTGCAACGCCCCTTCCCCCACTTCGTTTTCTTTCCTTTCCTAATCCGAGCACACCGGAGGAAGAGCGACACGCGAGAGAGAGAGAGAGAGACAGAGATATTATAAGAGGGAGGAGAATAAATGCTCCCTCACCGTAGCCTGTAATCTTCGATTGTTTTAATTTTAATTTCTCTTTTTTCCGCCTTTTTAATTGTGGCGACTTTTAATCATCAGATGTAATGATATTTTTTTTTATGTCGGATCGGATATAATGATGCGATAATTAAAAAAAACATTCGATCGCGGGTCAAGTTTATTCGACGGGCGAATACGTAAATTTATTTTCTTTTTACACATGTATGTATATATATATATATATATGTGTGCGCGCGCGCGCGTGTGGGGGTGATGACTCTAATGGTAATTTCTTTTTTTTAATGTTTGAAATTTTTAAAGAGGAAGAAAAAAAATCGGGGGTTGAATGTTAGATCCTGAATTAAATCGTTCTCGAAGTGTGGGGCCCTCTTGGAAAATGTCTCCTATTCATTTTTCCTTTTAGTTTTTTTACATAAAAAAGGGGGGCTCAAACTGCACGTGAAAATAAAAAAATATATTTCCCTCGTCGACAATAAATTATGCCCAAATATTTTCGTGGACGACAGAAATGCTGTTCTTTCGTTCATTTCTGTAAGCGATACGGCCCGTTCATTTTTTCGGAAAATATTTTCCTGATGGTTCGTTTTTCCGACAAGAGCTCCATTTGTTACTCGTGGAAAGTGAAATATCTAGAAAAACATTTTCCAAAAAAGTAATCATTCGTGTCGCTTGCAAAAACGAGCGAACGAAGAACGGATTTCCATTTTCCCGAAAACGATCGCTCGAAATAATTAGTTAAAGCAAAACGGCTTAATTATCGATAATAATTTACGTCTGACCATCTCCATGAACGATAAAACAGAAAAGCACGTTCCATTGACTCGTATTCGCGAACGATACGAGCGTTTTGATTTTGAACAAATTTAGCTTTCGAGATCATTCATTTTTCTCGAAATAAATGTAAATTTAGCGTCGGGAGACGTCGAAAATAAGGAAATGAAGATGAGTAGGGGAGATACGTCGGGGGGGGGGGGGGGGGGTTGTGATTCGGTAGGAAATCGTTGTCGGCGGTTCAGGGAATTTGGGCTTATAACTTGCAGCTGAAGCGTTCGTCGATGACGTGGCCGCCTTTCGTGACGCCCGAAACGACGTCGTTGGATATCGAATCCCCCTCTCGTTGGGGCGTTCTCATCGTTATGATCAGGACTTTAGTTTGCATTTGCATGCCGAAAGAAAAAGGGGAATCCGCCCGTGATGTAACACGGTTTTTTTTCTCTCTCTCTTTTTTTTTTATCGAAGATGTGAACCCATAGTTAATTATATAGCATTTCGGGGGCCCGAGTATCATCAAGTGCGTTGGAATGCCGATCGTCTGATGCGCGACGTCCCCGGATCGGTGTACGTGACTGAAAGCGAGGTCGAACGTGTCGGGAAGAGCGAACTCAGACCGAGAAATGCCGGGTGCGCAGCAAACGCGCCGAGTATTGGCGTCGGGATGCTCCGCTGCGATGGATGCGATGCGTGTTGATTCGCGGCAATTGAAGCAAAGCCTCGGTTGTGCTTTATGTATCGTCCCTTGAATTCTAATCGACTCAATTAACTTATCGAGGTTGAGAGGATGAACTACTACTTGTACCAAGTAAGATTTTTTTATTCGAATTGAACACGTCAATTCTTCAAAAGCAAATAATGATATAAGTATTCGTAGCAAAAGTCACCATAAATTTTTGACGGTCGTGTAAATCTCATAAAATGATTTAAATCTTAACATGAAGATGAAATCCGCAAAATTTTCTTTTTGGTGTGTTTTTTTTTTTTGTCCGTGCCACTTCAAGATAAACCAAATGCCCTATAGATCTTTGGTTTTTATTTTGTAACATTTTATTTTTGTCTTTTTATTAGTTTTCTGGTGCTTTTTGGTAGCATGTTATATGTTGATATTACGACTCCGTACTTTTTCCGGTTTTAAAAATTTACCTCTACATTTCATGTACCGAATCTATTTCATTTCAGCATAAGTAATTAAAAAGAAAACAATGTGATGAAATTAGAGGTTAATTCGCAAATGATTATAGTCCGAAATTTCTCCTTTATTGATTTAAAAGTTGCGGCAATTTGATTTATCGAAATTGTTCGTGGCATGTCATAAAAAGGCGTATTGCAAATGCTTTTTTTCTCTCTCCGAAAAGGGGTCTGAACGGGTTATGACATCTCTCACCCATTGCCGGAGCCCGTTCTGAATAGCGACGAGAGGGATCGGGCAAACTGGCGGCGAGAGGCCGTTCTAAGATGGTGCTGGGAGCTCGGCAGCCAACCTTTGACATGGAGCCGGCCAATAGTCGTGACGACCTCCAGCAGGTGGCGGAGCCGAATAGCCGTGTCGGGTCGTATTTGCTCGGGACGGTGGGGGGGGTTGTTTCCCTTTGCATTTCGTGTTTTGTCTCGTGTCGCGCCGGCGAGGGCCGTCCCGCCCCGCCCTCGCCGGCGTCGGCACTACCTGGGCCGGGGGAGGTAGCACAAGATCCGTTGACCCGATAACCCCGTTTTTGGGCCGTGAAGGAACATGGGCTTTGGGATGGGCCGTGGGCCCCGTCCGTGACGGACGACGCGCCGTACAGGAGGGGGGGAAAATGGCGGGAAAAAGGGCGCCGCGAGGCGCGCGAGCTCTTCCGTCTTTCTCGCCTCTCGATCCTCCGCCGCTCAGAGAACACGGCTCGACGACAATGGAGGCCGACGACATCGGCGGCGGCGGCGGCGGAGGAGGAGAAGAAGAGTTCGGGTTCTCGAGGAATTACTTCCTCGCCAAGGAATCGGGCGGCCCCGGCAAGAGATCCGCCTGCAAGGTCTCCGACATCGATGTCGCCGACGAACAGGTTCCGCTTCTCCCCGATGGTGCTTTTCGCCTTCCGTCGTTCTTCGCGAAGTTCCCGCGCCTGAAATTCTTCGTTATCGATTGAGGTTGACTTCTCTTCTCTTGTCCTCCGTCTGCGTGTGCGTCTGCGTGGGTTGACCGCCGACGCCAGGAACTCGTGGCGGCGATGTCCGATATCAGACCTAAGCACGAGAAGGAGATTGCGGCCCTGAGGGATGGTTACAGGAGCTTGTACGGTCGGTGGGTTTTCGAGCTCAGGTGCGCCCTCTTCTCGGTCGCGAACTTGGCGTACTTGTTTGGATTTTTCGCCTGTTTGTCTTAGCTTAATCCGGTTCTCTGGTGCTAATTCGGCTGTCTTGTCATCATCATAAGGTATCCAGAAAGGGCTTTAGGGGAATCTAGTTTGGAGATTAGGTTTGTTTCATTTCTGGGTGTGTGTGTGTGTCTTGCTCGATTGCTTACGGTTGTCAATTTTTCTCGTGTGCAAGGTGTGGTTTTGGGATGCTGTTTTATGGTTTTGGATCTAAGAAGGCGTTGCTCGAAGATTTCGCTTCCACGGCATTGACTGATTATTCCGTCGTCGTCATCAATGGCTACCTCCCATCGATCAACATGAAGCAGGTATCATTTTCCTTGTACACCCATTGTCGAATTTCGACAGTTTCGTGTGTACTGTGCTACTTTCGATATAGATATGAAATTGACTGGCGAGAGTGTCTTCCCCGTTTGGGGTGGCTGTGGGCAGCCGGGCAGGACGTTTGTAAACTTTTGGTTGGTAGATTGTCGGTATCTGGATGAATTCTCGATGCTTGACGTGCAGGTCGTGCTCGGCTTGGCTCAAGTGTTGTGCGATCTTTTGAAGACCAAGCGAAAAACTCCTGCAGCAAGTGTGTCTAAAATAAAAGAACCATCCGTTTCTCAATCCTTGGATGAGCTTATTTTGTTCCTGAACGGGCCGTGGGCGGAGGAGAAGGATTTTTTCATTTGCATCGTCGTTCATAACATTGATGGGCCAGGATTAAGGGACTCAGACACTCAACAGTGCCTTGCGCGAATTGCTGCTTGTTCTCATGCTCGCATCATTGCTTCCATTGACCATGTCAATGCGCCTCTCTGTAAGTGTTCAGCTTATCATCGATGAGTCCACATTCAACAGTGGTTTAATTGCGGCAGGCATATAGATAGAAGTATCTTACCTGGTGTATTTTATGCCTGCTTAAAAGCTCTGCATGAAAGTTCAGTTAGTCCTTTTTCTTGCATTGCGTAGCAAATCGGATCTACCTGACTGTGAATCAAAAATAAAATCTGCTATTACAATAGTTCTAAATTTTCTGTTACTTGACTTCAGCTTATGCTTATGTGAGTGTTTGTGTGTTGTAAACCTGTGAGTAGCTTAGTATCTGGTTCACATAAAACAAAAAATGCACATGAAAAAGTTTATCTCAGTGCAAGCCATCTGTGGTGTTATTCTGTGATCAATACTTCCTGATGTTTACCGGGGTTTGTTGACAGTGTGGGACAAGAAGATGGTTGACACGCAGTACAACTGGTATTGGCATCACACTCCTACCTTCGAACCATACAAGTATGAAGGAATGTTCTTCCCATTGATTCTTGCTCATGGCAATACTACCCAAAGTGCCAAAACAGCTACAATTGTCTTGCAGAGTTTGACACCAAATGCCCAGAGTGTCTTCAGAGTACTGGCAGAACATCAAATGGCTCATCCTAATGAAGAAGGTAAGTTAGGAACAGTTAATAAGAGCATTGTTGCCTGTTATGTTAGTATTCATGTCATCTTTTTGTTGGAATTTCAGGGATGCCAATTAGCAGCTTATACTCAACATGCCGAGAGCGTTTTCTGGTGAGTAGTCAGGTGACACTGAACTCACACTTGACAGAATTCAAGGACCACGAGTTGGTCAAGATGAGAAAAAATCCGGAGGGAGAGGACTGCTTGCACATCCCTCTGCCAACTGAGGCACTTGAAAAATTGCTGAAGGACATTGCATAGGGAAAGCATTCATCAAGTGGTGAGAAATTGCCCCTAACTTACACTGAGCATCTGCTTTACAGATTGTGCATCTCTAGTGACTGACAGTCAACTAGTGGACTGATTTTTAGTTACTCTTTGATTACTGTAATTGATTTGAGTTTGTCAAATGTAAATTCGTCGTGGGGTAGTTGGCCACTTCAGTCTCGAGAAAGCACAACCTGACAATGCCACTTTTGCTTAAAAATTGAGCGAGGACAGTAATAAAATGCAAATGACCGTGAAAGCTGTAGCTATCCCAACTTTGCGAAATCTTTTGTCCAAAAATGGGGTAAGTATGGATTCTTTAGGGCCTTGAAAAGGATTGAGAACCCAATCAATGCCATGAGGGGCAAGTGCTTTCTTTGAAATACAAGGGGCGACTCAAGTCTGTTCTGCTGATTGACCTCTTTTCCGATACCTGCTACTGTTGTTGATCCCGAACCTGGCCTGCCAGATGATTGGTTTATGCTTTTAGCTTTTGTCAAAAGTTTCCAAGCCTTTGGTTCTTTCCAACATTTTCTGGGAACTTTACTAGGAACATAAGATGTCTTTTGCCATTGTCATCTGGTTCTGTTTTCCCCGTGTCAGGTCCTCTTTTTTGGCCTCATCAGAAGTCCTTTCGATGGGAGGTTCTTGAAAAGCATCGGAAATTACGGTATTCTTATCCATCCAAACTAATCATCGAAGGACGAGTTCCATCAATTTAGAAATGAAAAGAAAATAGGAAAAAAACCCGTAATTGTAACGTATGTGACGATTGGTTTGGATAAACCGGACATGCCGAACTCCCCCCAGCATGTGATGGTTCTTCCCCGTTTCCAACAGATGTCCGGGGTGCAATCGTGACGTTCTGATACTACTATTCTCTCCTTAACGTTGGATGCACGTTGCCTGGTTGTTAAAAAAGCCATGCTGTAGTTTTCCCTCTTACGTTTGACTTTTGGGCCTTGCTGATTGACATTGGGAGCTCTCTCGTGGTCGAATCTTTAATAATTGAAGCTGACGCGACGGTCGCTCGGGGGACGGATAGATCTCCTTTTGATTAATGCATTCTTTTCCTTACATATGTTGTGGCGACATCGACTGATGCACCACCGATTCTGTTCTAGCACTGGCACCATGGGATGAACCATGTGGCGACCACGACAAGACAATCCCGCATCTGGTAACATGACCCGAAAAACAGAAGACATTCACCTTCTCGAGCTAACGAATGATTGGATTCTATTCAGAATCGGAAACAGATCAAACGGTTCCGGCCTTGCTCCCGAGCCCGCGTCTCGTTACCGGAAGACCAGAAGGGTCATTGAGCGGTTCGGGGATGAGAGCGGCCGACCACCAACCCGATCATCTCCGGGTGCGAACTCGTAAAAGAAGCAAAAGTTCCCATGGTACAGAATCACTTGTCGAGTTGACAAATCGGTCTTGTCTTGGCAAGTGCTTTCACTTTTGTGTGAACTCCCGAGACATTTTCGTGACTTGCTATAGCCGATGGAAAGCGGTACTCAATGAAAAGAAAAAATAGGAAGTTGCTATTTCTAATCTTGCGCGGGACAACATCGGAGATGGGCCACAAAGTGTTTGGTGCATTTTTCAGTACATCATAACTTTATATTGGTTTTTATATTTGGCCTCCTATAAGATCTTACCGGGAGTTATATTACATCGAAATCTATAAAGTATACTCACAATTGGCATGCGAAATGATGTATAATTTATTCATATGTTTTTTAAAATTTAAAAATTAATATTTATCCACTAATGATTAATGTGAGATGTATAACTTTTTATGTATTGATCGTGGACAAAAGGAATGTGTCAACAAGTATTTAATGAAAAATTCGCAATCTTTAATGCATCGATTGGCCTCGTAAATCATATATTGAGTATTTCGAAAATCAAAATTTTTTTTTGAAATGAGTGTCCCGAACACCTGTACGTGTATTTTGTGGGAAATACGATATTTTTCAAGATATTGATTATTTATAACACAAGGATAATTAATTATATTAAAATCCTTTTATTTTTTTTCGAACGCGTGAATCCCGATATCAAGAAAGTGCTCAGGCCGTAACGAAACGAAATTTCTATTAAAAGAAAGGGGAGAGTGTTACGCACTTCGCTGAAGCCATACGACAACTCCAAGAAGTAGGGGTGATCGGTTCCAGGGGGTAGGGTCCAGACCTGGAACCTAGAACCTACCTTGTTACAACCAGTTCTTAGTTTTTGGAACCTGGAACCTACCCTATTTTTCCTAGACCCTGTTTTGGAACCTACCCTGTTTTTCCAGTCTAGTTCCAAGGTCTACCCGATAACCTGTTTTTTTTTTTCTTTCGATAGGGGTTGCGTTCTTTTTTACCAAAAAATTCAATTGCGGACTCACCTTTCTCTCGATAGTTGCGTTGGAGTCGGCGACAACAAGGCGAGAGGCGACAAGAGGGGTTGTGTTCTTGCGGGCCGTGGCGACGAGAGGCAACAAGCTGGGTTGCGGCGACTGAGGCAGCGAGCAGCTGCGGCGACGAGCTGGGTTGCGGTGACTGAGGTGGCGAGCAGCCACAGCGACGAGCGGCGACGAGTTGGCTTGTGGCGACTAAGGCGGCGAGCAGCTGCGGCGACGAGTGGCGACGAGTTGGGTTGCGGCGAGCAGTTGGGTTGCGGTGAGCAGCCGTGGTGATGAGATGTTACGAGTTGGGTTGCTGCAAGCAACCGCGACGATGAACTGGGTTGCAGCAACGAGCAGCCGCGACGATGAGCTGGGTTGCAGCAATGAGCAGCCGCGGCGACGAGTTCTTGCGAGCAGACTGAGAAGGGCCAGAAGGAAGGGGACTCGCTCGCGAACTGGAAGAGACTCGAGGGAGAGACTGAGCGACACATGCTACGGTTTTTTTGGAGTAACTTAAAACCGGTTCTAAAACAGATCCGGGTGAGATTTTACTTAGACCCGGGAATTGGACCGGTTACAACCGGTTCCAAAAAAATAGAACCTGTTCCCGGACCGGTTCAAACATGAACCGGTTCCCGGACCTATTTTTCGGGTGGGCCGGTCCGATTCCCGGGTAAATCCGGTCCGGTTGCACACCCCTACCAAGAAGTTGCAACAAAGCAGTTGACCCCCACAAAAACATTAAACCAAAAAAATGAGACAACATGCCATACGACCTAAGTAGGGAGAATTTACATTTAGGTCCCTCAAGTTTTTGGGATTATGATAACTTGTCTCATACATTTCAAATATTCACAATTTGCCCCCTGATTTTTTTACATCGGTGACATTTTTGCTCCTAGCTTTGATTCTAGCCGGATCTCCATCACATACTTGATCACGTGACCGTAAGTTATGGAAAGCAAATTGGTCGTGTATCATCTATATATGTGAGAAAAAAAAATAGAGATTGCTCAATATTTAAAATCAAATATCAATGTGCAGCAGGCGTTGACTTCTGTCAAATTCTCGTCGAAATTTTAGTCACATGATCTCACATGAATATATTTATACTTTATATGGCGAAATTGCCGTTAGTAATCACTCGCATGTCGCGTTGTCGGAGCTCCGATCAAAATTTGGTCGGAGTCGACGCCGGGTGACATATATGGTAACCATTTTCCAAAATTCAGGGTAAAATCGTAAAAGAAAATGAAACATCGGGGTCAATTTGCAATAATGCTAAAACCTTGGGGGAGCAATATGCAATTTGCTCACTCGAATATACCCATCTATCCAATTGTAAATTCATTTTCGCACATTATTCCATTTTAGAACAAGCCGATCTCGCTCACATCTCTCCGCCCTCCTCTCTCTCTCTCTCTCTCTCTCTGCATCACGCTTTTCCTCCCTCCAGCGTCTCCGATTCTCTGCATATCCCCCCGCAGCCGCACGCTCATTCCATGCTGACCCACCAAGGTTGATTCTCCAGAGAGCTCGAGCTCGAGCGAAAGTTCGGATCTTTTCCCGAGAAAATTCGGTTGACAGGAGCGAGGAAGATGTGGGGGTTCGGGGGTAGGTATTATTGGGGGAGGAAGGGGAGCTGCGGAGGGAGGAACGAAGGCCTAGTGGTGGTGTTCGCGTGGATGTCGAGCCAGGAGCGGCACTTGAGGAGCTACGTTCAGCTCTACGAGTCCTTGGGGTGGAATTCGCTCGTCTGCCACTCGCAATTCCTCAACTCGTGAGCTTCGGTCTCGAGTTTCCTCTTTTGAATGCCGCCTTCGGTTTGGTTTTGAGGCCTCTGGTGTGGTTTCCACGGTTTCCTTTTTGCTTTCTTGGCTTTTGAATTCATGGGTCGGAGCGTGGTTGACCGAGTGATGGATGTGGGTCTCGTTGGGTTGTTGATTGGGATGTAGTTTTTTTATGGTTCTTCTCTCTCTCTCTCTCCTCTTTTTTTTTTTTTTTTTGGGAGGGGGGTGGTTTTCAAGGGAAGAGAATGAGAGGATTAGCCTAAGTATCTTTTGATGATATGATTTGGGGTTGATTGGGTCTCTTTACTGTTAGCCATTAAGAGCTTTCTTTAAGGATTGGATGCCAGAATCAAGCAGTCAGTTCTCTCTCTCATTGGGATTGAAGTTGCCTAGTTTTCAATTGACTTGGTGGTCTGCAAACCTTTCGTAATTCATGTGTGGGTTGTTGTTCGTCCATGCATAATTAGTCGATTAAATTTGCAGAACATGGTTTAAATGCTTCGAAAAGTTTAAATTTGAGTAGCTACTGTAGATCGTTTCTCTGGTAGAAAGGCTTAGCTCCTTGTCGTATAAGGTTGTTCAGTTTCTGAGTTTAGGGGTAACCTTAAATTCTGAGGCTAAATCACGGTGATGTTCAGGTATTGTTTTAGGAGAGGGGGATTTGAACTGTAGGGCATAGGACAAGATGGGAGGTTTTTTCATGATAATTTCCCCAGAGGATTAAAGCAAATGCTTAACTCTCTTGTCAGTAGCTGAGTCAGTATCTAACTACATTGAACAGACAGCAGTAGATTTAAGAATTCTTTTGAGAAACCTGACAATAGTCGTGCCATATGATGAGTATGAGATACCAAATGGTCTAACATCAGTATATCATTTTGTTGTGTCTCGAGTGGATAAATCTTAGAGCAACCTTAACTTGCTAAACCCTTCGATATTGTGAAGTAGACAACTGATGTAACTATTAATCTTTTAGAAGTACTAGGCA